TTAATTTGTATTCATTGAAGATTGCTGTTTTTTTTGGTTGCTAATTTTCTCCTTCAAGCCGTAATGCGAGCACACTCTCCACCTCAGACCTCTTGGCCCTCATCATCATGGCACAGAATATGTATCCTAGCAACACAGACCTGGATGACCCGGGTCCAGAGGTAGGAAAATGACCCTCACACAGCGCCACCAAAGGATGCTCATTACATTGTTTCTCATGTTTTATTGTTTCTATTGAATGTTTTTTTTTTTTGCCTGTGAAGGATATTGAGAGCACGTCCGGTTCTGGTCCTGAAAGTTTTTACACCCCAGAGCCTTCCCCAACAGACTCCACCAATTCAGGTGGGTTGTGTGGCAGCCTGTGTAGAATACGCTTTTATATTAAACTCGTACACTTTTCAGTATGTGTGCTTCATCTTTGTGTGTCACTAGACAAGCCGGCAAGAGGGAGTACTCCTGTGTTTGAGTTTGTGGACCCAGACATCCAGGTGAGGTTTCATTTCAGAGTCTATTCCTCCCTCAGATTTAGAAAATGTGATGCAAAATAATATGTATTGTTTTTAATGAGATGTAACAACCTGATAAAATAATGTCTTCAGATGGCAGAGGACAGCCTGCAGACTCTGGAGGTCCCGCCCCCTGACCCTTCAACCCCTCGTAGAGTCTTCTTGGAGGTCTCACTCAAAGAGGGGCTGTATCCCATGATGCCTCACTCCATGTACTGCCTGCCGCTGTGGCCGGGCATCACGCTGGTGCTGCTAACAAAGGTTAGTGGATACCAGCACACATCTATGTAAGCTTTTTACCCTGGTTTTTTTTTATTCAAACACATGGCCACGTAACGATATAACCAACTCACGATTTGATTCTTTTACAATATAGAGCTACAATATGATTTTCCCCCGATACGATTTTCCATTTTTTTTTAATTTAGAAATTAGCTCCTCCCAACATGTCCTATCTCTCTTCTGCTGTCCCATCTAATAAAGGCAAAAAGGCCCAAAAATATCTTCAAAATAAAACAAACAAACAAAAGAAACCAAAGCAGATAGTGCCCTCTGCTGGTTGAAAAGTATAGCACAACATATATTTTGTCTAATAGATTTAAATGGACATTTATTTGTGTTCATTTTGTATCACTATTTCAGTTGTGGTTCAATCCTGATATACTTACAATTTCCTTCCTACCCTCCTCTGGTTTACGATGTGTGTTCTGTGGCCAGTCGGGGGCGCACTTGTGACACATTTATTGGTATCTAAACAGTATACAAACACCCTCTTTGCTTCCCTGTTGAGTCTCTTAAGCGTGTACATTTTCTCCGCTAGAGTCCCACCAGTGCAGTGGCCATGTCAGTGTATAAGTTTTTGGAGGCCTTTGCCAAGCTGGAGAAGCGTCTGAGTGAAGGCCATGAAGGTTCTGCTGCAACCAGAGGACAGCCGACCATTTTCGACATCCGCAGTAAACTGGACAAATTTATTAAAGCCCTCGGGCCCAGTGAGATACAGGTATGTGTGGTTATGAGCTTTACATACAATCCTTTTGTGCACCATTCTGAACATATCAAATCAGTGATTGACTGTAACAAATATGCCAAAAGAAGGATTAAGAACGTTGTTTGAGTGGAATTGGCTTGTTCTAAATAAAGGCTTTTTATTTTGCATCTTACCAACACCTAACTTTGTCATAAAGGGTTACAAAAATTACTTAGAATATTGTCTTTTTTCAATTTTTATAAATGAAAACAATGGAAAAGGACAGAATCTTTTGTGACACATGAAAAAGTGTTTGTATTGAAAGAAAAACTGACAGATTCTTGCTGGAAAAAACATTCAGTTGTTCAAACTGGGCCTCTTTCTTCTTTGCTCCTATAAACGATTATTCTGAATCATATTGCTGAGTTATATTTTGTTGAGAGATTGTTTTTTTTTCCCCACCATCTAAACTTGGATAGAAAAAGTTTTCGACCAATGTCCATTTCCCTGCATATTCATATCAGATTTAAAATCGGCTCGTAGACAATTAAAATCTTTTTTTGATCCTCTATTTCCCCCTCCAAGTCTGCACAGTTACAACATGTGTGGACAGAGTTCAAAAACCGAGCGTTCGCCAGAGGAGGCCCTGGGTTCACCAAAGAGTAAGTGTGCTTCTGCCCCCTGCTGGACAAAATCTATAAACCCAAGCTGTATGAAAATTCCATGGAGTGACTACACTGGTGGTTTTGTTTTAGACTCATCCCGTGGTGTAAGAATATGAAGACGCAGCTGTGTGGAATCTACAGACAGTGTTTTCTTATTGAACCTGGACCGTCTGACATTCCTCGGCGTCTCTCCCCCAGTCTGCAGGAACGAGCCCAGACCATGGTGCAGTGAGTATCAGTGTCCAGTGTCCGCTATGTTGTTCATTTCTTTGTCTTATTTCTTTTCCCGTCTTGTTCCCTGTCGCTGTCTCTCTGTTTCTGTCCTTTCCTGTCACCTCTGTCTCCCTCCCAGAGAGAAACTGATGGACTGGAAGGACTTCTTGTTGGTGAAAAGCAAGAGGAATATCACCATGGTGTCATATCCTGTCAGGGAAATAATCCTTTTCCTTGTGGTTGCATGCTGTTTCTGATCTTTGAGGCACTGCTTTCCACAAACTAGAGATTTCTTGAAGTGCATGCGTATATAAGAGCGCTTATCAACATGAATATGCCATTTTAATTTGAACACATTGTTATACTGAGTGTATTGATCTTGACTCAGTTAATCTCACATACCTGGAGGATTTCCCGGGCCTCATTCATTTCATCTGTGTGGACCGATCCACCGGTCAATGATCGCACCATCGTTGAACGTCACAGAACGCAGCACGTCTGAGCTCGGGAAGGGACCAGTGGCTCAGTTCATCAAAAGCAAGGTGAAGCACACTGCAAGTTCACGTCTTTAAAACTAATTAGAATTTAATTAAAGTGCTGATTGTTAGATTAAGAACACTTCAGAAACTGTTCATCCCATCAGGTCATTAAGATCTCTTTTTTGTCTCTTGCTGCTTCAGTGCAAAGAACCAGTTACCTCAATTTTTCAATCAATTTAACGATTAAATGATTGCTTAGGTTTCAACATATGCCACAATCCTGTCTAGAACTAAAAAATATATCTGATATAAGTTATGAAATATGACAAAATAGTCTTTTTGGTTTGGCTCAAAGAAAAAAATTAGACATACTTAGAGATATGTTTTTTATTTTCTGTGCGAAGATAAATCATCTGAGGGTAAAGACGTCGCTCAAATCTGTCAAGTAAACATGTTTAATAGAACAAGAAGCTGGCTGTCTCAGCTTAGCACAGTGGTTCCCAAACTTTTTCTGTCAGGCCTCACTGTGGCAAGATGAAAATATTTGCAAGCCCCCTCACCAGACGCATCATCATACTGTACATTGACATACACAAATACACTGAATATGACACTTTGCTAACAGATTCTAATATTTTTTATAATTTATCTCAAACATGTGATACAAAAAGTACACAATTGCTGTTCTGTGCGACAGCAAATGGAAAAATAAACAAGCCACTAAGTAATCAATGAAATGTGAGACTGTAAAATTAGACTGACATGAATCTTCCACAATGTGTGCAGTCTGGTGTAGATTCATTGTCAGCCTTATGTTTACCTAGAAGTCCTCTCATAAGATGTTCCATGCTTTGATAACAGTGAAAAACCGTGTGCATTGTTTTTGTTAACCATGCCCATCCCCCCCATAACTTGGTCCCACTTTGGGAATTACTGGCTTAACATCAGGACCGGAAATGGGGAGGCAGTTGTCAGGCAAAAACAAAACTGTAAAATGGCCCTTAAATGTCTTTTTTATTTAGATTAAACTACCTATACTTTCTTCATCTTCATACTAAGTTTATTTTCTTTTTACTAATCCACACATGAAGGTCTGGAGTCTTGTCAGCACAACACGCCGTTATCTCCAGAAGGGTTACTCCACTGTCACACTGAGAGATGGCGACTTCTACTTCTGCTACTTCCTCTGGTTTGAAAACGACACCGTGAGTAACAAACAAGTCGGTTATTTACGTCCAGTAATTGTACCCAGTAAAGCTGGAAAAAGTGACATTGATGTATATCTGCTCAATAAGGGTTACAAGTTAGAGGCAGGGGAAATACCACCCCTACCTGATGACTCCGCCCCCATCGGGATGCTGGCCTGGGACTACTACAGGTGAACCACCGAGCATGTTGAAACAGACGTGATGAATCCAAAAGAAAGTGCTTCTGACTAAAGGAAATCATTTGTGCTGCAGGAAGCTGCTGCGGTACTACAGCAAGCATCACCAGGGGGAGGTGGTGAAGTGCTACGAGCTGCTGACGGTTCACCTGGGGGTCATCCCCAGCGAGATCATCCTGCAGCACTGCAGGCAGCTGGCGAGCAAACTGTGGGAGCCTTCACGCAATCCACTGCTGTAGACACGCCCCCCCCCCCCACAGGGGTGCCGGCTCACCGTGGTCAACAGACACATTTGTTGTAGAGCCAAGATGCAGGAACAAGGAAAACATATTCTCATTTATTTTCCTTCAGAAAGTATCCACTGCCGTGTTTTTCATGTTTTCATAGATTGTGTTTAAGCTTTTGTATCTTATCATAAATAAGTTCACCTTGAAGTATTTATTAGAAGTACTTAAATGTATGACTACAGAACCTGTTTGCACTTATAAGATTTATTGTCTGCTATGAAGTTTGTGTACAAGATTGTGCCTTCATTTTTCTAGATTTGTAATATAAATTTGAATCCCCATTTATGAGCCGTTTTCTATTTATTAGTCGTCCTTTATATTGATGTTTTGTTTTTTTCCATTTTAAAATTTTGCAGCTCTGTGACTTTTATAAACGTAGATTCTGCCTTTGCTACTGAAAGTGTCATAAAATATATGAATGAAATGTGGAAAAATGTTTTCTAAATGTCTCTCTAAAGATGAATTATATGTGGGGACAATAAATCTCAATAGTCTTGCATACACTTGTTTTTTCATTTATGTAAACACAATAACAGCCATGTTAATTTTTGTCCTTGCACAGTTTTTCGTCCATGAGACATTTTCAGTTCTTCTCACAGCTGAGGATAAAATATTGTCTTTCAGTTTAATTGAGATATGTTTGTGTTTCTACAGTCATGAGTCTGTCTAACCTTTAGAGACATCCCTGGAGACTGTAGGCATGTTTAAGGTCAGTCCATGCTGTGAAGGATTCTTCCAGCTGGGCTCAATTATCTCCACGTACAGTTGATTGTTTGAGGCTCTTGGTGAGAGGGAGGAGTGTATGTAGAGGACAGTTTATTATCAGTCTTGGAGCTGCTGACTCACAGAGCTCCCGTCAGGTCTGTCACAGCTCCTGCAGCCACCAGGTCCCTCAAGAAGAGTTTCTCAGCGCTGACGTCATGAACCACCTGAAGGGTCATGATTAAAAAGAGTCATGAGTAAATCCTCGCAGTCAAAACATTGCTATTTTGTAATAAATCCAAGATTACTTGAGCCTTCATGACATCCATGCGTAGTTCCTCATAGTAGTGAAGCCTGGCCTCTGGGTGCTGCATGTCGTACCCGAACCCTGCCAGGCTCACCTGGTCGCACAGCTGCAGAGCCATCACCACCGCACTGGCACCTAATGTCGGCACCATCTAGCAAAAACAAATTCTTCTGTGTTTTTTTTAATTTCCATGAGTACAAAGTACAAGTCATTTTTGTTCTGTTGGACAAATCCAAAAATAATAGCAGAACAACCCCTTTAAACGGTGGTTGGTATGCACTTTTTCACATATAGTTTTCAAGCACTGCATTGTTGATTTTGTGTGTTTTTTCTATTATGTCTCTTTTGTATGGTTATTATTAAAGCCAGTCACAGGTTTCTAGCACACCCAAACAAGCTTTTTTATGTTTTCTTTACCTGTATTGTGTTTTTTGTTAAACAGCTGAATTAATAAGCATGTTAACCTCTTGAACTGAAGGGTGTGTTTACTCGTTTGTCACTCCTTTAATCCTAGCCTATGTCAATGCTGACAATGGGTCAGTGAAGCGTTTATTGTGCAGGATAAATACCGCTTCCCAGATGTATCATTGCTCTTTGCTTTTATAATAATGCGTACCACAAAGCACGAGAGGGTGTATCACAAAAAAGGTTTAACAGTAAAATGCTATGTTATGCCAGAACTCACTTCCCCTTGTTTAACAGCATATTTCTGTAGGACTTGTCCTGTCTTGTGCATTATCTCCGGGTGAAGGATTCTGAAGTTCTCTGCTCTCAGGGGAATATCATCCACCACCTCCCTCCAGAACCAAAATTTGGACCAGAAGCTCTGTGTGAACAGGAGGTGCAGAGCATGCGATGCAGTGAGTGTGATGATGTGATCACAGTGTTGCTGCGTGACTTTCTGTGATGACACTCAGGACTTATGTAACTTAACCATTGCTGTGATGCATGCAGTCTTACCAGAGGCTGCTTGGTGATGACAGAGGTGAGCCAGGCCAGGTCCAGGCTCTTAAAGACCACAAGGGCAACCATGGTGGTCTTTTTGTACTCGTCTGCAGAGTGAGGGGCTCCTTCTGGGTAAAGCAGGCGGATGGTAGTGCGAGTACCAGCATCTCTTTCGAAGCCAGGAACTGGAGCGTTATTCAGCCTGGGAAAATAATTGAAAATCTATCTTTGATTTCATTTTATTTTGTTGATGTTAAGTATTGTCTCTTCCCTTACACTTATTTCATTTTTGGCTGCTGTGGAAATAATTCATCTGCTCTGGCAACCAGGCAATTCTTGATTTTATTCAATTAGGGTCCTGATATGAAATGTGCGTTTTCAAATGGCTATTTGTTCCAAAAGCGTTTTTAAAATACACCAGTGTATTGCTGTAGCCAGCTGTGGGCACTATAACGCAATACAATGTAATCCTTTGGGGAAATTACGGCGAGCAAGTTGAGTCTGCTAAAAGTGCTTCTTTTGCTTCTTTTGGCCACTTTCAGGCTCAGATTGTGATTGTTTCTGACAACATCGCAAGACAAAAAGGCCCCGCTTGAAGGGAAACTCTCGCCCTGAAATCTTGCAGTGAGAGAGCTTGTTGAAGGACGAGGATTGGAAAAACATTGCTGCGTTTTTAGGCACGATGTTAGATGATTGTTTTTATTTGAGCAGAAGTATGTAGATGAAGAATGCCTGGAAAGAGGAACAGGATTAAAAAAAAAAAAACAAGCCAGTAAAATGTCTGTTCCTCATCACTACAATACAATCCTTTGGGGCATTTATAGGCGAGCAAGGTAAGTCCATTAATAGTGCATGTGTTTGCAGATGAGAGGCTCAAATTGTTAAAAGCTCTGCTGGAAGGAGATGGCTCCCTCTGAAATCTTGCATTAACCTGTCTTGTTCCAGGAAGAGTATAGGGAAAACATGGCTGCATTTTTAGGCATTATGTTAGATGCTTGTCTAGATGAAGAATGACTGAAAAGAGAGCTGGTGAACAGGCACGGGATGGAGAACATCCAGCCATCAAACTCCACTTCCCAACTATCTCGCTTACAAATGTACTACCCTCTCGAAAACAAACATCCTAATGTGGAGATATCACAACTACTCCTTAAATACTGAGGGGATTGCAGATGTTGTCCGTTACTTAGAATAACAACCGGAGCTTTTGAGCTGCAAAAACAAGCACTTTTAGCTAACATGTTCACCTGTAACTGCCTCAAAGGATTACATTGAAGCAATTTAACCTGAATGCTGGCAGCAGACTGATTTAATGCAACATATCCAAAACCTTTTGAATCTACTTCTTGTCCACACATATGTCATATTAGATATGTCATATTAGAAATAGGGCTCAGGTTGCAAACATACAGGAATTCACATCTTTAAAAATAGTTCACAACACTTGTAAGATATCCTTCCTCTTCTTTCAAGTCTGTCACTGGCACATGTACCTGATAATGACGTCATACTGATCAATATGGGATCCTAGATAGCTCCCATGAAGAACCCCTCCACTCCCCACCACCACACATCGCTTGCAGCCGCCCTCTCTCTTCAGTGATGGAGGCAGGCCAGGCTGAGGCAGAGAGGCGAGGGCCAAGGCCAGATTCTCTTCGCTGCCCTGCAGCCCTAACGGAGGGGACAGATCCCAGGACACAGGCCTGTCCTGCTGCATGAACACAGGGATGTCCAGGAGGCCTGCAGAAAAGGAGAGGGGCTTCAGGTGGTTCAGACACCACAGAGGCTTACAGGGGTCTGAGAGCAGGGATGCTGAGCGGTTTAGTAGGACCTGTAGAGAGGAGAAAACAAAAAAGAAGCTCGTTAAGACCTATTTATTGATTAACACATTTTCACAATCTAGTTTTCAGGTAACTGTACCTGATCTCTGGGTCGCTCGTAGTCGTCGCTGATATTTGCTGTCTTATTCAACGTGAGGTATGCAGGAATCAGAATAGCTGAGTAGCCTCCGATCAGCAGCACAAGACTTAGAACAAGGTTCTCACGCCTGAACAGCAGAGAAAAAAAGAAGAAAAAAAAAGTTTTTCAAGCATTGAATAAGAGATCAAAATATCTAAAAACATAGAGTCTGTGAGATGTACCCGCTCAGGAAGAACTCCTTGGAGTCAGTCTCTATGACCCCTCGCTGTCTGTGATAGACAGGCGTAGGTGTTGCAGCCTCCTCAGCATCAGGCAGCAGAGGAGAGCCATCGTCTGGGTCCTCAGCACTCAAGTGATTCATCGTCACCATGGTGCCAGTACTTATACCCTGAGCACACATTTCTTACTGAGCTCACAGACTTATATCTCCTTCATTTGTGTGACAATCAAACCTCTTTGCAGTGAAACATGGAGGTCTGACAGCGGTAACATGAAATCACTGATAGAGCTAAAAGTACCATGTATCATTTCCCACTAAACTGTCAACAAAAACTGTTTCAAAAAGCATCCCAACAAATTTGATTAATACAAACTATGATACTCACATCCAGCTTGATTGAGACATAAGCTGATGGTTCGCTGTTTTTTAGCCTGTGTTTCATGTCTCAGGGTTTATCAAGACATGTGTCCTGTATCGCTAAAATGGCTGCTGCCACCGCTGCTGCTGCTGCTTCTCTCTCCCCTGAACTCTGCCCCTTTTTTTTTAACAGCTCTGGTTAACCATTAACACATCCCTCTGTCACACTCTGGCAGGTGTGTCTGCAAATAAATGTGTGTTACCAGGCGTCAGACCAGTAAAAAACTTTGCATGCAGACAGTTAGAAGAGGGCGGTGTCCAGTGAGAGAAATGAGCACAGAAAAAAACTCAGAAAGAAATGCACTAGACTAGAATACATTTTGCAGATTTGGGGAGTTTTGGAGAGACTACTTGGGGATAGTTCAGAATCTTTGAAGGGGGGTTGTATGAGGAAAAGTAAGTGTATGAGATGGCGGTCAGCTTGGCCCCTTTATTAACACACATTTTAAACACACTCAAAAAAACACAACATATACCAGACGCAATCAAGCTTCATCAAAGGAGAGCTCAAGGTTATTAACTGTGAACATGGGAGAGGTTCTTAATAATAGGCTAAGTATGGGGGTAGCAGGGTGACTTTCAAGTGTCCTTGCTGATTAAGATGTTTTATGACAACTGGGACATGTGGAAAAGATGGCCATGAGCTTTAGTTAACCAAACTAGATCGCTCCCTCGTGTGGCTTTGCTGTAGTTTAAAGTTTTCCAGTGTGAACAGTATGGTAGCTGCATCCAATGTGGCTTCTCGAAAATAATATATTTGTATATGTACTCAGCTTAATACTGTATGTGTGTGTGTAGTCTGATATACCTATAAAATATCTAAAATAACCAAAGCAGAGGCTGGTCAGACTGTTGGTGAGCTCCAGATCCATTATAAATAACATAATCCTTTAAATCAGTGTGTGAGTGTGTGTGAGAGAGGGTTGTCCTCTTGTAAAAAAAAAAGTAGTTTACACTCTGCCAGCCACACAAGTGAATGAAACCAGGAGCTGGTGGAATGAATTTAACCCTCAGCTTAGGACCAGGCCACGACATGGAAAAGGCATGAAGGGTCCACTGTACTTGTATATGAATGTGTGTGTGTGTGTGTGTGTGTGTGTGTGTGTGTGTGTGTGTGTGTGTGACAGAGAGGAAAAAGAGGTAGAGGGAAAGAGAGAGTGTACTGCTTGTAAGTTCACACAAACACACATGCATACACGCAACAAAGTGCACACACACCTGTTTGTTGGAACAACACAATGTCCCACTATGAGCCCGGGCATTCCAGATCAGGAAGCCTCTGCAGGCCGGCAGCTCTTCTGTGTAAAGTAACACGCTGTTAGACACGTTTTCTACCACCACTGTGCCTCTTGTTTTATTTGACTTTTAGTTTAATTTAAAAAAAAACTGCCTATTTTCCTCACTGGATTTTTTTTATTTTATTTTGTATGTTGAATGCGAGCAGAGGTGGAAGAGGCTGAGCAGTGGGCGGCCGACCTGATGGATGATCGAACAGGTACAAGCAAGAAAGTTCAGGTAGGTGAGAGAAATGTTTCCATTCAATTGCTATCATGTACTTTAAGAATAAGTATGTCTCTAAGAATAACCATTTAACACCACAGAAGATTTCATATTTAATTCACCTGTTGACCTCTAGATCATCGAGAACAAACGTTCAACCTGAATATGTCTGTTAGTAGTTATATAGCTCAGTATTAAAGTTAAGCCTTCAACATGAAGCGCAGATGTCTGTCAGCCTTCTTTAACATGCATTTGCAAATACACTGATAGACACATGCAGATCATGGCTCATTCTGTCGATATGAAAGAGCCTGTTGAGTATAATTTGTTATGTAGTGTGTTGGACTGCAATGAAATACATTCACTCTTAAGTCTAACGTGTTTCAGTTAATCCTGTTTACTATTATTGTGCTTCAATAATATGTGCATATGTGCATATTCTTAGCCATTGCGAATAAACATAAACATGTAATTTCTTATTATTTGAAGGTTGAACTTGGAATAACAGTATAAGTTATCAAATCCAAATTGTGTTTTCCAAAGAAGTCGAGTGATGGTTTACCCCTCAAAAACGTATTTTTTTAAAATATTTATTTAATGTCTTTTAAGTCCATTTATTTTAAAGTTGATTTGTATAGCACATTAAACACAACCAGAGTAGACCTAAGTGCTGTACAAGCCTAAAACACGATATCAAAAGAAATATGAGTAAAAAGAATAATTAAGTAACACAATAATTACACAATTACATTTTACCTTGAGCTCTATAACAATGATAAATCAGTATAACAGAAAGAACATGAAAGGAATTATATTGGGAACGTTAATTTTGTCATTGGCAAGCCTGGCTTGGTTATTTTCAAGCCTATGCCGTGAATTTATTTGACATTAACACTACCGTGCCGAGCTCTCATCACCCCTTAGCCTACTTGGCAGATCTGCTCTACAAGCCGATGTTACCTCACTCATCTTTGATAGACTGAATTATTACAGTTTGTGTCATTTTATAGGCAGCAGAGACGATGAGGATGATCCCCTCAGACATATGCTGTGAGATTTTGGATCTGAATGAAGGAGAGAATCTCACAGGCCTGTGCAAAAGGAAGAAAATGATCAAGACAACATTCTCACCAAGGGTGTCTGAGGAAATCCCTGCGGTGAGCTCCAGTTTTTGAGAAAGCTTTTCTCATTGTGCACAGATATAAACAAATCTATCTCCTTCTTTCTCTGGTGTCTTTCTGAGTTTAATTGGGTTTTTTTTGTATGTGTTTGTGTGTGCATGTTTGTGTTTCGGTATGCACAGGTAGAACCTGAGGACGCTGCAGAATTCATGAATGCAGCGAGTCAGGGCAAACTGAGTTTAATCGAGAAGTATCTGGCTGATGGTGGGAATCCAAATGCCCATGATGAGGTATTTTCTGCCTCCATTTTGCAGCAAAACACACAGATTACCAACACAAATGACAATGTATTTGAATTTCCCAGCTGAATAGGACAGCACTACAGCGTGCCTCCCTGCAGGGACACACTGCAGTCGTCCAAATGCTTTTAGAGAAAGGAGCCGATATCAACTTTAAAGATCAGGTGAGATGTGCAGGCACATTACTTGTTTGTAAAGATGTTGATGAGATTTGGTGAGATTATCTTCACACATTAAAGCTCAAGCCTCTTGTGGCCTGAAGTCAGCACTATTAATAGGACAGGGCCGGGCTGCTGTGTTTCAGCTGGGCTCCAGGGCCTTACACTGGGCCTGCAGGGGGGGCAGCCTGGGAGTTGTCAAAGCCCTGAAAAGCCACGGGGCTGACCTGAATGTTAGAGATAAGGTGAATATATTATTATGATCATATTATTTGTGCCTAAATGTCATACAGTTGCTTCTATGTGATTACCTGGTCACAGTGTGTGCTCATATCCTCTTTGCAGCTGTACAGCACTCCTCTGCATGTGGCAACAAGAACAGGGCACACCGCCGTTGTGGAGTACCTGCTGTCTTGTGGGGCAAAAATCAACTCCAGGGACAGGGTGGGCAGCATCTCAACAATTTCTTCTACACTTTGGTGACAACTTTTCCACACTCTATTTCTGTTATAAGTATTTGTCACTTTCAGGAAGGAGACACAGCCCTGCACGACGCCGTGCGTCTCAACAGATACAAGATAGTGAAGCCGCTCATAGTTGCTGGAGCTGACACAAAAATAAAAAATCATGTGAGTCTTTTCACCTGATACGCATACCTGGTTTAGCATGAAGATCATTTTGTATTACATTTGAGGTAGTATGTTGATATCATCTCTTTAAGAGATCTCTTCTTCCTGTTAGCTTCTGAAGATCAATACCACTCTCATAACTTCATCAAACAGTGTAGCTGTTTCTATGGAAACAGCTCAAGCTCAGTCGTTAATATGTGAAACATTATTGTAATCCAGAAAAAAACCCAAGTATGGAGTAATTTTCTTTATACTCCAAAGCATATTCATGCTCCAGCATACATCCCTCAGTAAAGTGCAGATTTGATGTTTAAAAAAAATGTTTTAGAGATCAGACAGAGAAGATAAATTGTGTTTTATCAGAGAAGCGGTGGCATTATTGCACAAAATACCACAGGAAGGGACAGGATTGTAAACTAATGGAAAATTAGTTGAATTTGAATGTTATGAAAAGGAGCATGTATTGAAAAATAGTAATGTATTTACAAAGATGTCTTTGAGAAATGTATTCATATTATTATCATTACTACTCATATGATAACAAACTGACAGTTTGAACTGTGTTGCAGGAGGGACTGACTGCAGTACAGCAAGTGAAACAATGGCAGTTTGACATCATGGAGACGCTGCAGAGACTGGACAAGCTGAGGGAGGCGGATCTCCCTGAAAACCCTGCAAGAGCGGAGTAGCTTCAAAAGCTACTTATACAGTATACTCTTTATAAAAGGTCAATTTGTATGACTGTTGGTCTCAGGTTCAAAGTCCATTCTTTAATTCCAAACAGGTTTGTGTACTTCATATATGAGTATATATGCATTATACTATATGTGCACATGAACAAAATATTATTACATTACAAACAACTTGGTCAAAACTGTTGATATTTGATTCTGCTAACACTGTCTCATATCCAAGAGCAAAACACCGAACAAGCTCTCTCTCAACATCTGTCCTTACAAGGCACGGCTGTTAAACCCCTCAGGTTAGATTGGACTCTGACATTAAAAGTTTTTAGCTTGACTGCTAGCGTGATCTGCTAATGTTAAAAGGTGAGAAAAATGTAACAAAACTGAAATTTTTAAGACCTTTTTTTGTGTTGACTTCGCTTGCGAAGAGCTTCATGTTCCTTGGAGCGCTCATAGGTGTTTCACATCTGAGTTGTGATGCCTTTGGAAGTTGAATAACATCAACAGCTAGAGCTGTACAGAAGCTGTGTTGAATACACATCGAGGCGACAGACAAGGCCAGAGCGCACAGTAGCAGTGTGTTTGAGACGTCAGCTGACGATAGCAGAGATGGCTGGCATGTCCCCTGCTAAAGTCAGGGATTCAAGGGGAGCTCAGTGGACATATTTTCCTTCTATCATCAGTGGCTCAAATGTTCTCGAGGGATGGTGGACATTCACACCGGGGACACCAACAGCATGCTTTCTTATTTACTGTTAGTTAATACACATGCAGTCTTTTTATGAATTATATGAATTATAAATGCAGTTTTCTGCTTAAAAAAAACAGTGTGTTCATTGTAGACAGAACATCAGATACACTATCAGTAGCACACAATATTTCCTGTTGCAAGCAAGGCGGTGTAACCGTCAGGGACTCTAGTGGAAGCACACAATACGTACAATACAAGGTTATACATACTGTGTGAAAGCATTGCCATTTTTTTCTTCTCCTGTCTGACCCTCACAGAGATATCGTTTCTCAAATGGATCATGCAACATTAAGAAAAGCATTGAAGCTCCTCAATTGGTGTGACTCATACATGTTTTACTGCGTTAGTTCTGTCATTTTTAATTCCATGTGAACTACACGCAGTTTGCTGTGGTGCCATGCCGTGCTGTATAGTGAGAAGGGGGATGGGAAAAACTGGAGGCTTCTGCTTCATGCTGTGCAGCAGCCAAAAAAAAAAACAGAGGCACATTTTCATCCTTGAAAACTTCCTCCTATTGCTGCACATGGCTCATGTTTCACTCCTACAGCTCAATCATCAGAAAAAGCTGCATAATCATCAAAAAGAAATCCTTAAATGTTTTGTTTTTTTAAACACATCTTTATTGAACACATCAACTGTTAACCACCCTTGTGATACATACTCACACCCTATTCCAGGAGAATAAGAGGATACTGTGCGGTAGTTTTTCTATAAGAGCACTCAAAGCAATCTTCTATTGTCACAGAAAAAAAGGTAACCATGGCAATGGTATTCTCCAGGCAGGTGAGAGTCTGGACAGGCACGCTTTTTAAGCACCATATGTTTCCAGTTGGAAATGGATGTGGGATTCTGATGAATTAAATTCCACACAGGCATGGTGTGTGTAGGCAAAGAAGGCTTTAGCAGGTATTGTCTCTGACATTGCAAGAGGGAAAAAAATACCATTACATGATGTAAAATACAGGATATTACACACTTTGCACATACAGCAAACATTAAAGTATCAGTGTGTGTGTGAGAGGAGTGGTTCTGGTGCATGCAGTGGACAGATTTTCTCTGTAATGTTAGCTTCAGTCTTTCTGATTGCACTGTGCAGCACACTGCAGCACCAACGGGGGTTTCCAAAGCAAGCAGTAGTACAGCCTCACAATATTAAGTATTGATTTTTTTTTTGCTTCCGCTTTGAAATAAAATAATGATATCAGTAACTGCAGTAATCTAGACTGGAGATGTAAGGAATATTTACAGCATAATCTGTACTGCACTCAAGCCACATGTGGATTTGTCTTTAATGTTCAGCTGTAAAAAATAACACACGCAACTCCTGTTACCATTCCAGGCGTCCTATACCTATAATATCATCTGATTGTCTTTGGTTGAAGTTTCATGTAGGCAACCCTAGACAAGTCTACAAATGCTTTTTAAGGCCTAATAACTATTCAAGTACGATGAAATAATCTGTGATCAGCTATAACTGTGTTGTATACAATTCTCAGCAAAGACTCAACCCACGCTGTCTTAAATAATTCTGTAACACATTTGTCTCCACGACCAATCAAACAATAAACCATTTGTATGAAAGGTCGGAACAAACTCAATTACCAATTTACCCCTCACAGTAAACGCACACTTAAAAATCAAGTACTGTTAAATATATATCTGATTTATAAATGATTTCAATCAGCTGCCTCATTTAAGATTTACATCCCTAATTGGATGCATTTCATCAGGATTACTCACCATCTGCTCTCAGGTTAAACATAAGAATGATCCAGCTGAGATAAATCTCCTCTCCAATGATTTCCACTGGGAGAGGGAGGTTTATTAGAGTTCATTGGAGCTGCTGGACTGGATGTGAGTGACGAGAGCTGGAAGTCAGCACCAGCTTAGCAACGCGTGTCACAGAGTGAAGGCACTCTTCAAACAGACCTCAAATTCATTATGATGACAGACACCTCAGGGGGAGAAGATGCAGAGGAGAGGGGAAAGAGGGGGCAATATGCGTGATCTTGTTTTCAGATGGTTACTTTTCAGACAGGACTACGCTCTCGTACTAAAATATCTTTAAGGCAAATGTGAATACTGATCTATTACATGAAGAAAAACGAGGGGCAGAACACTTCCCTAGAAAGTCCAAGATGGCAGCAACAATTAGATGAGAGTTGAAAGGCGCCCTATGGAGTGTTTTTAAAGAGAGTGCTTACATTCCCTGCTTTTCACCAGAATGCATATGTCTTGTGTATTTATGAGGCCTGGAATATTACAGACAAATCTTTATAAGCCATTTAAAAATCTTTTTTTGAGTATTTCAATCAATATTTTCTAACTTGCAGTCTTGTTTCTGGCTTTAAGGGCACATTGCTGTGTCTTTAAAAAAAAAAGCAAAAACTGTTCATTTGCAGAATTGCACAAAACCTTCTGCAAAAATTTGTATTTTGTCCCCAACATGTTTTTGTGCATGCTTCCTAATGCCCATTTGTAAGAAAGAAAAAAACAAACAATCATAATTGCTAATTGGTAACACCGATAGTCAAAAACCCAACAGAGTACCTTTAAGTTCATGTGTTGTTCATTTTAAGGGGAATTTTCATAAAGCCCTAAGAGGACATGAATCCACAAATTGTATTTACTTGTAATAACTACGAATTTATTTGGTTATCTCAAGATAAGAATTCTGGTTTTCCAGTGGAAGAGTCTATTTCAGTTTTCTTCTGGAGATCTTCACATATTTTTCTCATTACATAACAAAAGCTGACGACGAATGAATCTCAATATATCATATTTAGATGATCTAAAAACAATACTAAAGGCAAGACCTATGCCACGCTGCAAGTGCCCGCACCAATGAGGTTAGTTTTGCCAATTTCTATGTATTTTGTACTTTTGCAGTTTTAGGGATACAGGATTAATGAGTATTAAGCTCCAGAATACAACTAGAAGTTACTCATTATCACAGGAAAACAGAGTAAACAAAGTGTAGGGATGCATGTCCACTCAGGGCTTCAGTAGAGTTTATCTCATAAATGGCTGTAGACTTTGATGAACAGACAAAGTTTACACTTCTTCCTCATGCATTAGAGATCAACCTGTTTGAGGTTCCAGTTGTGGTAAGAACAGGACTGCCATTGTCAGTTGTTTGATGTATAAATGTTAACTGCTCAAGGGAAAAACACTAAGAGGATGTTTATGAGTACAAGAATCGGGACAAAGGGAGACAAACAGAAAGCAGCATGTGGTGTTTAGGTGACTCGCTCAGTTAAAGGTGGGCTTCCCGGTGTCGTGCATTTCAAGTCAGTCTAAAAGAAAGCGTTTGTTTGGTCAAAATTCATGTGCGTTCCAAGGCAAAACAAGGAAGATGCAGAAAAAGGGAATTAGAAAGAGATGTTAAAAAAATAGAGAAAGACTCAAGGAGAAGAGCTTGATGGGAGTTTACATCCCTGAGGTCCTCCTGGAAAGTGCCGGAGCCCTGACTGTGTCTCCTCCAGGGTTCATGACAGTCAAAGTGCCAGGGTGCGGGCGTTGGAGGCGGAAACGTGCGCACGCTGCACCACGCCTGGACACTTCTCTCTCTTCTGCAGCTTGTGGTTTTTAAACAAGCCCTCATTTCGTGGGACACCATGTGCTCCATCTGGGAAAGTCAATAACCCTGGAGGCACAGACACAGAACACTGTGACCAACGAGAGCACCACATTGACGTCCTGATGGACAAACTGAGCCAGATGTGTAGAAAAACAATACGTACCGTATCCCTCAACGCGTCCATCTTTGAATTCTCCTTCAAACTTCATGCCATCGTATCGGCCGAAGACTCCGAGGCCTTGAAACTTTCCATGTGCAAATTCTCCTTCGTACCTCATGTGGAGAAGAGAGAGAAGGATGTTATTAGTCACTTTTTCTGACTTTATGTGGACTTTCTTCTGTTATCAAAGCACATACACACAAACACACCGCCACGTTTAGAATAAAGGAACTGTATTCATAATGAAAGTAAAAATAATTTACATTTTAATTTAAATATCTACTTATAATCTATAACAAAGGCAGTGCTATTCATAGGTGCTGTTTTGTTTATTTTTTTTGACATGCCCTCGGCCACACATGTTGATTGGTAACCACTGTTAGCAGGGCAGAGCATAACAAGGTTATAATGCATTTAGATTATAATTTTTCATTTTGACTTTTTTAATTAGTTATGGACATCTTTTATCTTTTGAAAACATTTTGTGTACATGAATTAGTTTAAGTGTTAGTTTTAGTTCATTTGTTTGGAACCCGGTAGAGGAAGAGCCAGAAAGAGCATAGTGTTATTAAAACGTCAAAACATCATGCATTTAAAAAAAAAAGAAAAGATTAACAACCACAATCATCCACAAACGACAAACCAGCATTTGTATAAAATGAATGGACAAAGACGAAAACGAAAGACACTTTCTATCTTATTTTCATTCATTATAGTTTGCTTCATTAACAAGATTTTTTGTAAAGGCACATTTTAAGGTAGTGAAACTTTTGTTTTGCTAATCTAGTTTTTTGTTATTTTGTTACTTTTTGTTAACCCTCCCATGTGTGCTGATTATGGAAGTGACAATATATTCAGTCTCTAATAACCTTGGTTTGAACTCTACCCACGGAGCATGCTAATCAAGGTCCGTGCCTCATGGCCTGTAGTGAAGTGTAGACATCAGAATAGACGTCCAGTATACATATACGATATATAAGATAGAGATGCTCTCACACCTTGATCCGTCTGTGAAGAGCAGCACACCCGAGCCATGAAAGAGCCCGTTCTCAAACTGACCACTGTAGCACGTTCCATCCTGAAACTTGAGCTGACCCACTCCATGCCTCCGACCTGGAAAGTCGAACACCATCGGAGTGAGTGAAGGATCAGGCTTCAAACAGATGATGGAAACACATGAAATCCCGTCAAGTCAAACGGCCTTGACAAGAGATTTCGATACCATCTGCTAAAACATGTTAATGTGCAAGAGCGTCCTCGTGCCTCATCTGACCACTTAGCCTCTTATGGATTTTTTTTTTGCAATAATATATAACATACTGTAAAAGCATGACATTTGACCTTGCAATGTGGCTCTGTGTTTTATATTCACATGGTACTCTGGAGCATTTACATTTGTCACGAGTCAGGCCATGCTCAGTACCCTCCCCTCCCCCCTCGCTGTCAGCTAAAGGTTTACCTCTGAATTAGGAGTCCCATCTGCCTTCAACACGGTGGGAATTACAGCACTCTAATCCAGCAGATATTTTAGCAGGGATTTCTACTTTGGGATCCAGACACTCTCATTCCATGCCTAGTAGCCTATGATTCACTGATGCTTATTATCATGTCAGAGGGTTCACACCTGTAATTGCCGCACTGGAAAAGTAGACACTGTTACCTTTGAAGGGCAAAGGATTACAACAGTTGAAATGGTATGGACAGAAACCATTTTTCAGATAGCCTAAAAGCAGCTAAAAATCATCGTGAACCCAAAACGACAAAGTAAATTCCCCTGGACGGACTTGTTCCAGCTTTAATGACTAATTTGTCTTCTCACAAGCAGCTGACTGAGCACCCTCGACGATTTCCCAAACAGGTCCAAAGTCTAATCCAGAAGATTTGACAAATCCTGAGCCGGTAAACCTGGCTCTGTCCGTCATGGGTTGCCAATGCCAGCTAATTGGGATTTTGATTAAACAGCTTGAGCGCTGTATGTGTGTTTAGGGGAGAGTTCAAACCATGCAAGCAATCCTCCTAATCTTTCCTTCAGGTAAAAATTTTGACAAGAAACTGTCCCCCTCGAGGTAGAAGGAGAAGGGTTCAATTTATTAGATTGCACACATCAACCATTTAGTGAGCAGGGAGATAATTGCTGCCACTTTTACTTTAATTTGTTCTCCTTAATATATAAAAAATTAAGACTGTTATGTGACGAACTAAAGTAGGTGATAACTTAGCGAACACCAAAGCATCAAGATTTACTCTGAGGCTAAAAAACAACCTTCTTACAAACTATAATTCTTCTCAGTGTACGCTTTATTAAAAATAACACTATACACCTGATGATGATTAAATACTAGAAATCTAATGTATATGATGAACAGAACTTGCCCCATGTAAAAGTTTGTGAAAAAGAATGCAATGTGCAAAGGCAGGAAGCCAAAAAAACACTCCCCTAAAACAAAATAAATACATATCGTTCCCTCTCTGTTATTGGTTACGTGCATACATGTTTATTGGTCAAATCCAATCTGAAAGTAATATGCACACAAAAGCATTTCCCCTCTTATGTCAGTGTTTGCTTCCCCTTATCTGATAGCTAACACAATGATGCCCTTTAGAGACATGTATAGCATTGAAAGCATGTGCAGTACAGTCTCTGTAGTGCAAATGTTGAATCTAGAAAAGGGAGAAACAGGATGGCCTTGCCTTCTTTCCACTCGCCGTGGTACTCTTCCCCACTGGCGTAGGTGAAAGATCCTCTGGTCAGAGTCATGGCACCCCTGTTTGAACCCACAAACACAGTCATTGACAAATCTGTACTGGTGACAATCTGTCAATGTTACAAAGTCAAAGTACGCAACTTAGAAAGACTGAAATTAGCATCTGTGAGGTTTTTTTTTCCGTCGGCGAGACCTCTTACCTCACATTAAAGAGAGCAAGTGGAACAGGACAATGTTTCTTAGATTGATAATAAGTCCTTCATGATATGACAAAAAATGGGACTGTTTCTGGGGTTCATTCTGTGTTGTTACAGTTGTTTATAGACTTCTGGATCTTAATTACAGCTGGATGTGTTAAAAACAAGGTAAAGAAAGCAGAATGCCCAGCTTTGTTGTGGTGTTAACACAGATACACAGTGCATTTTTTAAATACATTTAATTACATAAATGAGGGAAGAAAAAGAACTCGGCATTGGACTCAGTATCTTACCCATTAATATGATTAGTATTACAAATATTTTGTTGCAGCTCTGCAGCCAGTTTCATTAAGCCAAAGGCTAGTAAATCAGCTTTTACTGTTTTTTGATTCTAAATATCAGAAAAATATTGAAATAAATGTTTTTGTGTAAAGGCTTTCCTGAAGATGAACTAATAGATATGACTAAACACCCAATAAGTCTGCTTAATATCCAGTGTGTGTATGTTGTGGTGGTGTGAACCCAGTTCAATGCACACATTAATAAGTTCTAAGGAAAACACTGAAGACGTGACATTACTGCAAACAGAAATAAAAGCTCATGGTACAGTGTTGACTTCAAAATAATGTTCACTATCTTTCTTGCTTTTAACCAGATGCTAGTAGGGTGTCATTTTACCCCTCCGACTGCCACTGAATAAATAATTTATCAGCTCACACCAAGACAGAAAGGGATATTATTTATATCTAACTTGGGCTGTCAATAGGCTACCTGTCGATAACGGCAGTCTTTGTATGTTGCAGAAAAGGGTATCCATTCAAAGACAGACCTAAATAATAAAGCACACTGTAACCTACTGCAACGCGGATATTTGCGAAAAAGCGACATTTCCTGTAGGAGGTATCTTTAACTGTATTTACCTGTACGCTACGTTAGATGTCTTCGAAGCATGGAAACCACAATACAAGACCGGAGGGGCGTAAAAATATGAAAACACCGGCTGACAAACGTATGGCGCCTTCAGGTACTCTAGGAAGCTCCGAAATTCAAGTGAGCGAGTCTTAACGTGTATTAAAGGACCTTCGCGTTTGCTTTAGGTGCGCTGGCTTTACAAGAAATGATAAACTAACGGTGGTAAAAGTATTTAGGCTAAGTCTCTAGTGTTTATTTTAGACACTGAGAGGCACGACATCGCCACAACAGCTGCCGGGAAATCACAAAAGATAACCCGAGATAATGAAATGTAAACGCCACAACCTTTTACGAGACTCATATTCTCCAGGACCCCAAAAGATACAACTGAGCGGCTAACATAGGCACCAACTGACCCTTCACTTAGTATTATTATTATTATTATTATTATTATTGTGGCTAAACCGGTTGTATCTGTTTACTTGCATAAGGGCCTAAGATCAGGAATCCATTGTTTCCGATAGCACCTGAAGGTAGCATTACAACAGCATCATTGCAGCCTGACCGCCGCGGTGTTTCATTGCATGGCTGTTGTTGGCTCTCATTGAAAACTTTATCTGATTGGTCTGGTGTGTTTCAGCTTGGAGACTGGCAGACATATTTATGAAAGACATTTTGATGTCGCTCTTTGAGGCACTAAAACCACAGCAGACAGAGAGGCTTGTTGTTTACTTAGCTTTATGGACACGGTGTGGGTTTTAATTGCAGTGTGGATTCCAGTAATTGTAAATAACAATGTTATCATGAATTGTATTACTATACTACTACTACTAATATTACCAGGCTTACTACTACTACTACTACTACTATCATATTAGCCTACTACAACTAGTAGAATACAGTTGTAGTTTTTCTACAAGCCAATTACTACTTCTACTACTACTAGCCTACTACTATAACAACATGTATTCTCTATAAATTCAATTATTCATTCACAGACAAACCAAAACGACGTATGCAATCTATGGTAAAGGAACTCAGGTAATGTTTCTAACAGGTGCACAGGATTTGTATTTATTTATTATTTCACCACCTAAACAGTATTAAATGTCTTGTCAGATCGTATTGTTCTCTCTAGGCAGTGAAAACTGATATCTGAAAAGCTACCACAGATTGCTCCTGAAAATCAACTAAACACCAATATTCAAGCAAATCACAAGTAATGCTCAAACTTTGAAAATGAAGATGGCTGTAATGGCCTATTTCAAAGCAACTTATCTAATAATTGTTGGTATAAGGAAACCAAATTATTAACCCCATGCTGGTCTTCAAGAAAAAGTGGTGTAAAATGGACTACCCAAGGTCATTATGATCAACTGTTTTCAAACCATCGATATTTATACCACATTTGGAACAGATATTATAATAGCCAACACTAAAGGCCAAATTTGCAATTAACTGTTCGTGCCAGTAGACATTTTAAAGGATCACTAAAGTCTGTCTGTTGTGTTTCACCTCTGGGGGCCATTAAAGTCTCTACAGAAAATAGATTGTAAGGACTTAGTAATAAAAGACTGAATCAAAACTGGGGACTAACATTGCCATCTTGACAAAAGCAGTGGTTAACCATGGAACAGGAACTGCCTGAGGCCTAACCGTTTCAATTTAGACAATTAAACCTTCTACATGCTTATTACAGTAAACCTCAGCCTTTCGGCCCTGAGGGTTGATGACCCCATGGCAGTTTGCCAGATTGGTAAACCCGCCCAGTCTAAGATACGTACATTAAAAATATATCCTTGTCTCAAGTGATTTCACCCAAACTTTTTTCTCTGAGGGCCTCATAACTTCACCTTTCCATGACGGGGGGCCAGGGTCTGTATGTAACAGAAAATAACATGTGCAGGCATGACTACCGGTATATCGTGGAGATGGATTTTATCCCAGGAGATTGATTCAGTTGAACTTGGCGTACAAATTTAGTGTGCAGAGCTAACAGTCCACTTTTCATTTTTTGCTTTTTTTTAACAGCCACCGCCTCTTGACCGATGAGACAAAAACAGCCTTGTCTTTGCGTTGAACAAAAAAAAAACATCATCATCAACCTTTATTTAAGTTCTCGGAGAGATCATTGAGGGCGACCCTCATGGTGCCGAGAAAACAACATAAATGATAAACAACGAGAAATGAGATAAAGCTACTACAGAAAATAAAATCAATAGAAGAGCAATAAGAACAATAAAATATATACACTAAAATAATTTAAAAGCTTGAAATTACTACAGTGATAAGTCAGTCATTAAAATCAAATAAAACAGTTACAGTCAGGTATTGGGCGGCTAAAAATAATATTTCTAAAGTGTCCATAAGGGATAAAAGTGCTCAAATTAGTCCACTGTTGGTTAAATACCCTGAATTCTGAATCAAATGTTCTCTTCCCTAACATGTGAGTTCATAATGATAAAAGTTCACAGCTAAAGAACATTTTATTTGAAATGCTAAACTTTTATAGGCCTATGACAAAAAAAAAAAAAAAAAATTACAATTTTGATTTTTAAAATGCATTCTGAATTGTTCTGAGGGCCGGGCCAAATGTGGGGAGGGGCCGTAGTTTGGGGACCCCTGCTTTAAACTTAGCTTATGCTAAATGAATTTAGGGTGAAACTGCTAAATGTATCCTATGGTGTTAGATTGGGTTGTTATTAACAGTGTATGGCTAAATGTAACAGATTGCATGTTTGTATCTATATCAATTTAACATGAATGATGGTAAAAAAAATAAAAATCTTCCTTTAGTTTGTTTGGCTACTCTGCGTGATGACGGATGATGAATTAGCGAGCATCCCCCCCCCCCTCTCCCCTTCCCCCCCGTGTAGAGGAGTGACTTCCTCCTCGACGCGGGGGCGCGCACGTCCACATAGCACAGCGCTTCCTCTTCCCGTGCTTAGCTGTGCTGGTGCCCGCCAGACAAGAACCATAGAAAATGGCGAGTCAGTGTAAAAGGCAGCAATGCACAATCGACAGGCGCGGCTTTCGGCAGGAACTTGACTCGTGGAGGCACAAACTCATTCACTGTGTAGGTAAGGACAACGCAAGTTTCACACTCTTCAAGACGACCGGTTGAATTCCGCCTCCGTGTGACCGTTATCGGTGTAAATAACCAGCTCTTACTGGACTCACTCGGGGCATCTCCGAGCGACTTTTTTTTGTCCTCAACTCTTTCCATCTCGCTGCAGTTTGTCAGATGTTGCTCGTTGTCTCCGTATTGCATTACTTGGTTTGTTTTCGTTCTGTTTGGCTGTGCGTAAGTCCAAAATGTAGACTTTACGCATGTACGAGCGCAACGTTAACGTTGTTTAAAGGGCACCGTGCTTGCTTTAAAGGGAGTGTCTCTCGGCTAAAACGCGATATGTTTGCTAAAATGCGCGTTCCCGTGTGATGATACTGTATTTTGGATGGGGGGAGGGCGGCAAATGCCCGTGTTGGATGTTTTCAGTCAACATTTAGCTTACTGAAATCCGGGGGGCGCGCATTACTGCATCGAGGAAGTGGTTGAGACCCCTCTGCTGCTGGGGGGGGGGGAGTTTCGATTTTCGTCGACGATACACGAATACACCTCAAACATTGGTAAATAAACATGACACGACATTGATAAATGTAGGGGTTAAGCTCCTTGTTGTGTTTATGTGCGTGGGGTGGAGGGTGGTTGTTTGGGCTGAATTATAGATTTGAGATGGCACAGTTAAAGCAGCATGAAAGGTGGGAGGTAGCAAAACAGGTAAGTGAGGCTTGGAAAGGCAATGTTTACAGTCATCTTGTGGCTTTTTTTGGTGTATTGTTATAGGTTTACTACCATGGATCAGACTGAAATGTTTAAAGCTTGCACATCCAAGTTTGGACTTTTCCTGTGAAATATCACAACATCTAGGCTTTTGGTGCAACAGAAAACAAATCCCACAGTCCGGATGGGATCACTGATTGGTTTTTCTGATGAATCCATCCCCAATAAAGACATTTATAATATGTCCTCAGCTAGACGTGACTCAAACTCGTACATTTTAACATCAATCCTGCAAATTTGGATGCTTCTCAGTGAGTCCCAATCATGTATCCCATCCTCATCGTTTCACTATAGGCTAAACACATTGCTGCAATTCCAACAATAATAGAAGAAATTTGATAAACCTGCACTCCCTTTATCTTTAGAAAAGCCCCTTTTAATACAACAGATTGTAATACAAGAAACTGCATCATCAGGGACAACTACTATACCTTCAGCTTTTGGACCGAACACAGCGATCTGTAACAGCAGTAGTAAGAGTATGGCTTAGTATACAGCAACAGACTATAACGGGCTGTAATATCACCAATGTGTGGCTACTGATTGTCGTCACATGACTCACTGCATGATAGATATTGATAGGGTGAAAGTGAACAGAGAAAATGCGAAGCAGTTTCGTTTCTGTATTTGGAGGAAAGTCAAAAGTTGTTAAACATTTGGCCATGGCTGTGTGAGGTTTTTAGGTAATTCAGTTTTTTTTATTACTGAGGCTTTTTTTTCCTTCTAAATACATTTAGTTCATTAAAGATCTCACTCCATTGGCAGCAGATGATTATAAGTGATACTTGGCCTACTGCTCTTAATTATACGAGTAGTTTTACACCGCTTTATTGAAGAGCTCAGAGGAGAGGGAAAGGCTATTTTAAATCCTTGCCAGTCTCTTTCTTGAGCGTTAACATAGCAACAGCCAATGTGGACAGGCTGTGCCATCACAAACGGATTATTCATGCAAAACAGAAGCAGACAGTTGCTAGGTTACCCTTTATGTTTACGATGGAATATCCAGGTGTTTTCTCCCTAGTTTACCTGAAATTCATATTAACTTTTAACAGTGTAAAAGTCAAATTTGGAACAAATTAATTCATTTTAATGTTAAATGTTGCACTCTTTATTAAGTTACTATATTACGTAGAGCTACCTGTTTTTAGAAGGATAAGAAATTTGTGTGATACATTTGTTAGTCTAATGTTTTTGGGTGACGTTGTATGAATATATTTAACAATTATTTAACTCTTAACATGCATGCAGTT